AACGTTGTTCATCACGGCAGAATGCAGCAGGTGATTAAAATTACTTTCTAGCTGGACGGTAATTCTTGCCCTCACATGGGAGTGACAGGCACTGTGGTTCTCATGATGAAACAATTTTCATCCAAATTCTAATTTTTTGAGGTAAGATACTGCAAAAGTAGAGGGTTGTGAAAATAGAGCTCAATTAGTTTTGTAAATTTGTACTTAATTGTTTGGAAAGGGATGTGATTAAAGTATGTAGACTAAGGGAAATGATGGAAAGATAAACAATGAAGGAAAAGTTTTATATTAAAGCTATTTGGTAAAAGGGTGCGTATTCAATAAAATTTGGGGTTTTATTACATCAATACAAGCAATATTACTAGTCTTACAGAACAGAGGACTCTGTACTGGCAAGCAGTTATTCTGAAAAGGAAGGTCACCTGTTAGTTAAATGCTGTTTCCCTGTAGTGCAACTAAAAAAAGGTGAAGCGATTCAGGGAGGGAGGAACAGGGTTATATAAGAAGAGTATATAAAAAGATATTTTTTATTGAATGCATCAGTAAGACAATGACTGAAATACTGCCATCACTTTTTGGTGTCTGTTAGAATCGGTGCTGAAAAGGGTTTCAAAAGCATTTGAAGTTTGTTAGATAGACATGAGAAGTATGACACATTCGGTTTGCCAGAGAGAAAGTAATTTTCCTGTCTGCTAGCAGTAGAGGGCTAAAAAGTTTCAATTCCATACAAGTGAAACATCAAAAATGGAAACTTGAATCTTATTTTACCCAGGAATTGCTTATCAGTACTTGTATTAATCCCCCATCTCCCGAGATCTCCTGTAGGAGAAGACATCCCATCTTGAAACGATGCATGGAGGGATGCCCTCTACTTATGTAGAAATCGGATTAGACTGGCATAAGAGCAGCTTCTGTCCTGGAGTCAGGAGGATAAATGAGCTGAAAGAAAGGAAATAAATTACTTAGTTAAGGACTTACAGGACCAGAACATCTTTTCTCTCCCTTTCCCCATTCCTTCCCAGCAAGTGGCTTCCCACTAATTACCTGAGACAGTTTTTCTCTGCAAACCCAGCTACAGCGGACGATGGCAGAGTTCCTCCAGCCTGACCCATCAGTATAACCCGGGGGCTGGCAGGGAGGCAGCGCGTGAGCAGGGAGCCCCAGCCTCTGCCTGCCCCTGCCTGCGCCCAAGTTCCCAAACTTTCCGGTCGCTCTGTAGCGATGGGTTTTCTCACGCTACCAAAACTGGGTTTAAGACTGGGATGTTTATACACAGCCTTAATTTATACTTTTGTTTATTTTTGTGCATGCAGAAAATAATTTGTGTGCAAGTGCACGCATATGATTTTTGTTATTGTTATTAGGAGTATTTTTTAGTGTTTGGGATGGTTTTGTTTTTATAAGTTCAGGGAAGTGCCACTGATAAAAAGAAAAGCTAACTGAAGAAGGGAGCCAAATACAGAAATTTCCGGATGCTTCTAAAATTCAATGGTAGCAGGACTAAGAAACTCGGTGTAGTTCTATGGAGACTCATCTGTTAACTATTTTGTCAAAAAATACACTTTGCAAGCTCTGCCATGTCAATATTCGAAATGGTTGAATTCAAGAAAGGAGTGTTTTGGCCCAGCGTGCAGGAGCTGTTACTCTTTATAATGCTTACAGATTTTCAGAACTTGAAGACAAGTGAAGGAAATGACTTGTGTTTCTCAAAGATGAAGGATACACCTTTTTTTTAAAATTTTTTTCCCCCCAGGGCAGAAAATACTGTGTATGTTAAACTGGTATGTTGTGGGGTGGGTTGTTGTAGCCAGTTCCCAGTCTTTGCTTCCAAGAGCTGTCTCTGGAAAGAGCAGAAATGCGCTTCGGGATAAAGCCTGCCAGAGTACAGATTTGCTATCAGGCAATTTGAGGTTGTGTTATTTTTCAGCATTTATTTTGAATAAATTTGGGGGAAGGAAGTGAGTATAAGATGAGAATGGCAGGAGGGGAAGAAAGGGTGAGCTTTGCCTTTATAAATAGCAGTATAAGCATCTCGTAGCACTTTCTTCATTGCCATGTCTTGAGTTACATCGTTGCGCAGCAACGCACACCAAAAATTGCACCGTGTTTGCTGATTTTCACATAGAACAGCAGCTCCTCCATGGTTGGCTTATTTGTTTAATATTGTAGCGTTACCTAGTTGAGTTAAACGTGCTCCATGGTGGTGTGAATGTTTTTCACTCCGTGCACCGTTTGTATGGAAAATGACAGTGTGCTGATCGTACTAATTCACTGGAGATGGAGGAGGAGGAAGAATACTGTTCTTGTATAATACATTTTAGTTACATCGATACAGTTCTACTGAATTAATGACCCCTTTTTTAATACCGAAATATTTCAGACTGTACGTGGGAGTTGCTTTGTGAAGTGCCACAGAGTTGCAAGGAATACTAAAGCAAATTGAATTTTCCTGTCATAAGAAGGATTTAATAACAAACAAAACTCTACTAACTCACTTTAGTAGAGTTCGGTAAAGATGAAAGATTTTTACACCTCCTGTTTTTCCAAAACTTTCCAAAAATAACCTTTTTTCCTTTCTCTCCTGAGACCCTGACCTTTAGTGCTGGGAGTAGCCCTGCTTCTTGCTAAACTTAATGCTGTGATTCTGCAGGATATTGGCTTTCCTTTGTCCAACCTCAAATTATCCATTTTGAGTCATGCTCCTTGTTCAGGGGCTGGGGAGCACGAGGAGGTAATAAAGAGATTTTTATAGTTCTTGGTGCCAACAACCAGCTGTTTTAACCAACTTTAGCCCTGCAGCTAAAGCCTGTGGGATGAGGCGGCTGTCGATGGCGATTGCGGCCGTGGGCTGGTCGGTTTGCCACAGGTGGCAAGGACGAGGGGTGGAGCGGGGCCGAGGAGCTGCAGCCCGCTGTGGTTTCAGGTTGGGGTGAGGGCAGATTCTGCTTTCCCAAACACACGTTCAGTTCTTGGTGTACCGTAGCCTTTTTCCTTTTTCCTCAATGTGGAGCTCAAACTGGAGATAATTTCACTGGATACAGCAGATTGACGAAATAATTACGCTGCACATCACAGTAAGACATAAAGAGTGCCTTTTCAAAAAGACAAAAAACCAAAGAAAATGTGGGTTTTTCAGGAAAAATAAAGGAGGAATAATAGCAGTGGTAAAATAATCCTGTTGCTTTAAGGTAGCTTTTAAAAATAGGAGTAGTAAGCTTGATGCTCCAGCTTTTACCACAGTAAACATATAATTGTAAGCTGATTGTGGTGAATTCCTTAAATGACAGCCCCCATCAATATAAGTTTTAAAGCAACAGCCCTACATCTGGAAGCCAGCAGCAGCTCAGGATTTTATTAAGCGGCACTGCCAAATAAAATCCAAGCACTACTATAAATGATATAAAAATAAAGATTGGCTGTAGCGTAGCATCTCAAATACGCGAGTGCTCTGGGGTTTGGAGCACTATGTGAGGACAGCATAGCTTTCCCAGCAGCTTTTGAGCCTGAGGTTGAAAAGGTCGATATGGATGCGGGTTTCTGTGTTGGTTTTAGAAGTGTTCAGGAGCTTAAGTTGCTTGTGGAATAAACAGAGAAACGGCAAAATTGCTATTAGTATGTCTAGCTTATTGGAAAGGGTACAGACAAAGTGCTGCCTGTGTTACATATTACACACAAAAAAAGGTTTATAGAGTATGGCTTTCTGTCTGTAAAGAAGGTGATGAGAGAATGACCTTATCACAAGGAACAGAGACCTGCCCTCTTCTGAGGGCTGCGACTTGACATATTTATTTCCAGCTTTCATCCCATGGGCAGAGGCGATTGAGTGCAGTCGATGGCTGACAGTCATGTGTCCGGCTGCCACTGGGTGACAAGTATCAGAAAAAGGGAGGGGGTGATGCACAGCCGACCCAAATGGAAAACCAGCAGCTATCCCGTGAGTCTCGGGCAGCAAGAGGCTGGCTGCAGAACCACAGAGGACAGCAGTCTCTGGTACCACAAAACAGCGAGCGCTTTCCAGTTCTGCGGGCTGATGACCTCCATGCTTTTTGGAGCACGTCAGTGCCCTTCCTTGCTGAGTGGGAGATTTCCCATACAGCGGCAATAAAATTAACTCATTTGAATTCAGAAAGCAGTGTGATTAGTAGCTCCTTCTTAGCCTTTGTGCCTAGAAATAACCCAGAACATCATAATGCAAAGTTTCAAGGAAGTAAAATAAGCGATATTCTAAAAAAAAAAAAAATCAAATCTTTTGTTTTTCCAGCAGGTTTTTAACACAGCTCAGCTTGATACAATGTGGTATTTACCAGCCTGGCCTTTAGTATTAGATTTGCTTTCCAATTATGCTTCAATTCATACAACAGTTGCGGAGGACGTGTGTGGGTGTACGTGCAAGAGAGATTGATTTTGTTCTTTAAAAATGTGAAGTCTGCACTAAGTATGAAAACCCATCAGAATTGCTAGCACTTAAACGCCATTTCCTTTCTCAATGTGCTACCAGCATTAAGTAATCTTCACAACGTCTCTCTGACAAATGGAGAGTGCAAGTGGAGGAATACATGCTGAGTTTTCAGAAGTAGAATATTAACACAGATATCGCTGAAAAACAGGCTACAAATCCATTCCAGAAGTAAAGAGCTAATGTGAGAGCTCAGATTACAACTTGGAAGTGAACTACATAAGGTCTTAGCTCAATTTTTCAGAAGTACGTGAGTGAAAATGAAATAAAGAAAGCACATGTCAGTCCTGGCTGTTGCTGTGTATTAGGCTATTGTGGCTGGGACAGCAGATGTCGGGCAATCCTACTTGCCACCACTTTACACAAAGCATCTTTATATTCCTGTGCTTGTTCCCAGCCACTGGCTTTTTTGTGTGTGCTGTATTCCCGAGCCTTGATAGTGCTTTGATCGTTACTGTATTTCAAGCTCAAGAAGTCCAAAGGAGTGTTAGTTTTGTCTTTCTGCAGTTCTGACTGTTCTTTTTTTTTTTTTTTCCCTCTGTAGGTTTGAAGACCTACCTGATCTCTGGTCAGAAGGTGAAGGAGCCCCACTGCAGCTGTTCGCAAGCTTTGCTTCCCGGCTTGGAGTCCGGAGACGGAGCCAGGTTACAGGGAGCATCGTCATCTGAGAATGCCAGTGACTTGACAAAGACTCTCAAACATGTGGAAAAACCTAAAGTGAGTTTTTGTTTCAAAGCCAAGCAGCATAGATCTCAAACTGCAAACCAGGGAGAGATGTGTGGGTGGGGAAAACTTACAGGTTTGTTTAGGCACTGCTTCATGTATTTGTGTATATACATGTGTATGCATACGTGTATATATACGTACAGTGACAAAACATAGTTTGAGGGATGAAAAAATTTACAAAGTAAAATGCTTCGCTAATTAACAAGCCCTAAAGTAAAGTGAACACTTTTTAAAGGCGGTTTCAAATAAATAATTTTTTTATATTTCAGAACTGAGAGGTCAATGCTGCTTTTCGTGGTCTTGGTTTTATGGGGAAATAAGGAATATGCTTTATGTGGCTACTGTAACTTCTATGACTTTCTGCTTTTGCTGCAGCCTGCTTCTGCCATTCCTCTATCGTGCAGGTCATGGACCTGTGAACCTTTTCATGTGTAACAGATGTCCCAGCAAAAAGATGACAGGATTGTTTGTGTGGTGGGAGAAAATGCTCTGGTAGGCTATGAGATTGCGTTTTATCTGCTTGCTCTAGAAACCTATCTCTAGAACGGAGGGCAGTGATTTCTGTGGATTCAGCTTAGAGAAATGATGACATTTTGTTATGTTCACACCTCTCACAAGATCTCTTGACAAGGAAATCTGTGAAACAATGTGTATTGCTTTGAAGCTATGCTGTTGCTCTCCATCTTCCAGCTCAGAGCAGATTTCCCAAACAACAGATGTTCTATTCTCTGTTTTCGTTTGTGCTAAGAGTTCCCTGTCCTGGGTTGCCTGAGCTGGGCACAAATGTCAGAGCCACGAGTGGCCATTTGCAGGTCACTGTCCTTAGAGTTCAGTGTGTTCAGTCCTGAGAGGATCTCTTCAACAGAGGTTTGAGACTGAGCTGACAGAGTTGATGGGGCGGTGACTTTCATGCTACTCCATTTTTGCTGCTTCTATGTTTGTTGTCTGCATTAGGAGAGCGTGAGTAGGTCACCTTTATCCTGCCTCTGTGCCCAGTTTTAAGTTTTGGAGTAAAAACACTGGATCACAAGTGAGGTCAGGTGGAAGGCTGGCCCAAAGATATGGTCCAAAGTGAAGTGAGCTCCTTAGAAAGCAAGCCAGGGCTGTTTAACCACAGAAGGTAGCTGTGGCCATCTTTATCCCTCCTCAAAATATGCACTGTGTGTGGTTTGACTGCATCCAAGTCGCTGGTGATACTTTTCTATTCCTTCTCCCACGTAAAAAAGAACATCTTTGTCATCCCTCAGGCACCAGTTTTCTAGTTCTCTCTCATATTTCAATGAAGGTACTAGCAAATAAGGTGGGAAAATACATTTCAGAGCAGTCGGTGGGTAGCCTGTCTGTGCTGCCCAGTGCGTGGCTGTGCAGACGTACAGATGTGACAGTAAGGGGCAGAAGCTCCTTTATTTCGAATAGGGAAGGAAGAAGAACATACCAAGTGGAGCAGGATTACTGAACTGCCTGGCCATGGAGCAGAGGGTAGGGAGGAAGGATTAAGCAAAGCAGGACAACCAAGGATTCTGTTCGGAGAGAAAGCAAGGATGCCTTGTTAATGTCACACAGCAAAGCAAGGTGTAACTGGAGGACCGTGAAACTGCAGCGATCTACTGGACTGACCTGACTGCAGTTAGGATTTGATGAAACTTGTTACGTATTAACTTGTGGTACTTCTTGTTAAAATGATCCAAGTCCAAAATGAAATCTGTTGTTAAGGATTAGCTCTGGTATGTGTTTTCGGAAACATGGGGTGACTTTTACTCTGCAGAAGGGTAGGTACAGATGCACCACTATTCCTGAACAGCTAGCGTGCGATGTGGAGGCATGCTGCTGGCCCACAATGTTTTGTTTGCTGCCTAGTCCTCGATTTTCTGCTCTGGGACCATCTTGGCTGGGTGTTAATTGCTGTTTAAATGCTGAATGATGGGCTGCACAGTGCAAAAGTACAAATGCGGCTATCTGAGTAAGCGAAGGAGAAGCTAAAAGAAGCTGCTTCAGAAGAGCATCTAGGACAAGTGTCAGCTCTTGGATGCCCTGTCTACCGTTGTGCTAAAGCGACTGCATCGAGTTTATGCTTGTAGGTACCTGGTTTTATTCGTTACTGTGAGCACTGCAGGTCTGGCCAGTGATTTCCGAAGCAGCCTCACAACTCTTTGAAAATAGCATGCCTGTCTTGCCCAAAATACACTGATGCTGGAGTGAATTTTGAATGACCCCGAACTCAGCTTCCCCTGTGGTCTGATAATCATCTGTATAATGCGTGCCACAAACCGTGTCAGAATGTGCATAGCATAGTGATGAAGCAACCGTGTGACTGCTGAGCACTTGCTCAGAACCGTGTTCTGTGACTGTCGTTGCTGCACTTGCTCCTCCCAGCGTGGCTGGGTGCAGGTATTCCGGACTCCATAGCACGCTTTCGAGTGTAGATGTGCACCAGCCTTCTCTCTGAGGAGGAGTCTGTTATTGGAGTGATTGTGGACCGAGGAGGCTGGCTAAAGCTTTCAAGGATGGTTTAATTTGCCAGCCATGCTAGAGTAGGTCTTACAGTGTTAAAAACCCAAATATATATGTATATTAAAAAGTCCCCACAAAGAACAGCTGTGCAGTTTAATCACAGATAACACACAATTTTTGAAAAGCGGTGGGTTTCGTTTTTGCAGGTTTTGTGTTTGGTTGGTGTTTTTTTTGGTTTTGTTTTTGTTTTTTTTAAAGCCTGCAGCTTGCTGGAAGGGTCTGGAGATAATAATTTGCAAAAGAACCATGACTTATGTGCCAACTGTTTTAAATACAAAGCTGTAAACAGTGTCAGTGTAGGAGGAGATGACTCCAGCTCTGCAAAAGAGACTAAGTAGGAGGGGCAAAATTACAGACAAGTTGAAATATTTTTGTTTTAAAGGCAATAAGTGGCCATATTGGTTGCAAAGGATGACTTTCACGTTCTGGGCTTGAACGGATGTTCTAGCGGACAAGATCTGTTAAGGAAAGTCAGGAAGGAGAATGCAGCAGTAATTGATTCATGAAAGGAATTGTATTTCCTCCTCTCCTCGAGTGTATCTGCAGTTCATTTAATTGCAAACTTGTTGCAGTATGGCTATCAATAAAATGCATGTACGTAATTGAAATGGTGCAGATAGAGGCTAAAAACTATAAGTAAATCTGTAATAGCAGCTGCTTTTTTGAATGAAAACATTGTAACCTGCTCTAGCCGTTTTTTCTCTATCATATTTTATAAAAATCCCTTACTTGACAGGGGGTCATAAGCTATTGTACAAATGTTTTAATCATGGCTTGGTATGAAAATAGAAAGTACTTTTGCTTATCTTTGTGTTTGCGGAAAGTGCATTGATGTGTTATTCATCGTGATGAGGTCACATAGGCACTGAGCCTGTGTGAATGTCCACAATAGAGACGGAAGTTAATGATGTTGACTTGAGCACATGGGGTAAGTCAGATGGACTTCGGCCCCTTCTCAATAGGTCGGGCTGCTTTTCTGAGATTTTTGCCTTCTGGTTTAACCCCAGGAGCTAAGCATTTGAGCTAGTCTTGCTGATTTATTAGCAAGATCAAACAGGGAGTATCTTCTTTATTTTTTGTTAGAGGTATTTGAGTTTTTATTACTATTAGCTGACTTTTGCCATAGATAAATCTACTAACTAATGCTCTAGGAGAGTAGAAGGCTCATTAGCCCGTTGTCATATTCATTTTTACAGCTGTCTAATATTGCCTTCCACAAAGTGGCCAAGGCATTCATGGTATTTAGTCCTAGATTAATTTTAAACAAAACCATTTGAGAACCAGCTTCATAGTTTCTTCAAGTGTGCTGGTATTTGTTCAGACAGTACAGGTTGAGAACTGGATGTAACTTGCTTATCTGATGACAGATTAGGAAACTTATAGTAGTTTCAGTGCCCCAACCCACACCGTGCCCCTGAGGAACAGCAGGCACCATGTCTGCTGGCTGCTAAGAAGGCTCAGAGTCTTCATGCAAGTCTTTGAGAGGCATTGTTGAGTGGTTAGATCGATCAGCAGTCACAGGAAGAGTGGGCTGGGAGAAATGCCATGCCGTAACAATCTGAAAATTAAACATGCTACATTATTCAGTTTCAGGTGTGACACCAGAATTTGGGCGGAAAAGTCAGTTCTGAAAAGTCTCACATGCTGGTCTCTGAAATCAGGCAGATGAAGGCATATGTTGTTGTGGTTTTGGACCAGGAGAATGATAAACTACAGAGACTTGAATGAGTCCTTCCTGAGTCCAAAATAAACAGATAGAATGGACATGGGATGTTGAGTTTGGGACAAATGCTCAAGTTACTTGTTAGAAAATTTATCAAGGTGTTTAGTGGATCACTGTTTAGTATATAGTGTGCCAAATTTAGTGTGCCATTCCCCGTGACTGGTGTCTCTGTACCCATTAGTAGACTTCTGGCAAGCCTGGTAACAGTAAACCATCTCCACAGCGGAGGAATTGCCAACAGGGATCAGACACAGGGTACATCTGATCCAGGACCCTGCCTATACGTTACCAGGACTGCAAAAAAGTATGGAGAGCTTACGATATGCAGATATGGGGTTAATTCCCCTTAAGAAGATAACATTTTAACTCCAAGGGATTAGGTTGTTTTGTGTGTGACATTTTAGGTTGCTTCCAAAATGCATAACCTGTAGCTATTACAAGTCCTGATGTTTTTGCTTTCCTTGTCTCCTGCGACATTTGCTGGGTGTTTGGCTTCAGCAATGTGCGATAGTCTGAGCTCCACTCCACTGTCTTACAACACTATATGAAAAAAGTATTTCCCTTTATTAGTTTCCAATTTGTTGCTTTCCACTTCCCTGTACTTTTCATAATGCATCATGGTGTTTTGTGCTTTTCTTGAATTTTGCTGCATTTTGTGCTAAAATCTTCACTCATAATGCCATTCAGATCCTTTTGCAGATAGTTTTTAAACAAGAAAATTGCACTTCTCTCACTAAAGAGACTCCACCTTCTTGGGGAGGTCCTTTGCTAGTAGGCAGTGATTACAGTATATCTGTGATCTTACACTAATAGAGCTTTCCTGGATTAGATTTAGCTTCAGTAAACAGAAAATCTGTGATTTACTTTTGAAATGGTGCATTCTGTTCCGGTCAAATTTTGCTGCCTGCTTCCCATTCTGTAGCTTTGTTTATCTTTTAGCCATGCCACGAGTATACAAGTGGACCGAATTACAAATTGCGTAATACTACGAGGACACCAAAACGTTCCTGGCTAAAATTTTTTTGTCTCATTGCAGCCTTGCCCTTCATGTAGTACCACCCTTGCTCCCCACTGTGATGTCAGCATAGACGAAGGAGCTATCCAAAATGGTTGTCAGGATGACCATAAAAACAGTACGAAGGTAATTTAAGTATTTATCACTTCCCTTCTTTTCCCTTATTTCTCTGCTTCAGTTAGCTTTCTCTTCTTTGTATCACTATTCCTTTATTCAAGCTCTTAAGCAGCAGGACTGATTTTAATTTTGAGCAATTGTGTTCTAAAGTTTTTGTTGATCCCCCTCCCCCTCAGTTTTCAAAATTATTAGTGGTTCTGTGGACCCAGTTTGACACGGAGAAGGACCTAAAATTTGGACTCTTTTAGTCACTCTGAGGCTGCCCAAAGTAAGAGGCACAAACCACACTACGACACTCGCCATCCCTTACACCAGTTGGCTGTGTCACCTTGCCACGTTACACCTGTGTCTTGCCAGCATCTTCTGCATCGTAGCTCTAAGACACAGTCATCCTGTTCACACCACAGCTGAAACTCACAGCCGTTAAGTCACTTTGCATCCTTTTTCTGACCCACAAATAAAGCATCTTGCATATTCAGCATGCTGCTGCCAAGGTTGCTTTCCTTGCTTGTTGCTTAGATATTCTCACTGAAGCCACCTACTTCCTCTGCAATGCCAGACATTGCCTATTTGTCGTCTTATTCGTGGCCTTCGTAGCCTCTCTGCTCTGCCTGTCACTTCTCACTCCTTCCTGAATGTTAAGCTCCTGCCTAAATGCAGACTGGATACCAGCGTGCATCACCTGATTGTTACATTTTCATATAAGTTTAATGCTTTCCGTTGTTGGGGAGAATCACTTCATGAACACGCTCACAGACAGCTGTCTTGTTCTTCACATCTGTCTTTACAACTTTTCTCACATACAGACCTAATTTAAAAACTTGCCAGCACTTACTACTGATGAGCTACTGTATTAATCTGTGTTTGTCCCTCTACTCTCTGTATTTGACCTGTTGTCTCTTATGCTTAAATTGTAAGCTCAGAAGCGGGGACTGCCTTATAGGGCTGAAATGGTAGCACAGTAGACCATGTTCTGTGCCAAGGTTCCTAGGAAACAGCCTAAGAAAAAAAATAAGGTAATAATCCTTTCAGCCTTGAGAGAGGTAGAGCAGAGTGGCTAGCAGGTTCTGGTCTCACAACAGCATGAGATCTTGAAGACAGAAAACATTGTGGGAGATCTGCCCAGGCTGCCAAGATGATATGCAGGAGATGCTTCTTCCCCAGGCTGCCTCTGCCCACATGCCAGGGACCTCCAGGAACCGACTGCAAACAGAGAATTTCCTTGGGTACCAGCTGCCTAGTGTCGTGTGTTGTCTTCATCAGAATTACCCTTTAAGTTTCTTCCTACTACAGCTATATTAGCTTCATGTGTGTTCATCAGTAAGCCATCCAACCTTGCTTAGAAGAGGCCTGTACAGTGCTGAATAAAACGTCTGTAATTTCACTGGAAGAAACATGCTGGTGGAGACCAAATCACATGTCCTCCTTTGATCTGGTTTGGGTTTTGCTAAGTCAAAAATTGGACCAGTTAAGTGGCTATCCAGTAAGTCTGGTATTCCTGTTTAACTGAAAGCTTAGAAAACGGCTACGTGCACAAAGTTGCTGTGGCGTTTGACTTCCAAATCCTCTTTGCAGTCTCAGCTTCCTTGGGAAGAAGAGCCATAAGTTCCCTCTACCCATCTCTGGAGTCTCTCCCCTTCCCATGCCACATCGCTGCGCCAGGCCCTGGAGCACTTATGTCCCCTGTCTTTGGGGAATGTTAATGTTAACTACGTCTTTGGACCTCTGTGGGTCCCAACAGCCTCTGGAGCCTCCCTGTCTCTCGAGAGGAAACTGTCACACAGTGCATCAAACCTCTGAGTGCTCAAAAAAACCTGTGCAGCCTGTTGCCGTCGGAAACCACAGTAACACTGGAACTAACAACATTTAATAAATGGGGATTTTCTCCTTACACACAAGCAGTTTCACACTCTAATCCCCTCCTCTTAGGATTAACAGAGTAGAGACAGCATAGGAAAACCTTGAGCTGACTGAAGGGAAGAATTTTCTTAGGGATTTGAGCCTTTGCCAAGGAGCTAAAGAGAAAAGGCCAAGAGAAGTCCATGCTGACCTTCTCTGAAAGAGCAGAAATTTTCGCTGCATTTTTCAGATGAACTTGAACAGACAGGGAAAGCAAACAGTGCACAGGAGTCTGTATCTTTTATTTGAGCTGCTCGTAGCAAAAGTTGTGGTCTCTGAGTGGCTGCTTTTCAAGTAATGACATATGCTGCAGGGGTGAGGAAAAGGAGAAAGATTCTTTAACAGAAAAAAAATGGTGATAACTGACTTTTTTTTTTTTCTTTTTTAGGCTTCAAGTTGTTCTAGAAAGTGCTCTGAGCAGATACAATATTTAGCATGAATTCTAAAAAAAACCTAAAAAAACAAAACAAAACTCCAACCAACCCACCCCACCCCCCAAAAAAAAACCCCAAATAATGAAGACCCTTCACTTCTAGCAACTTGTTGGACAGTTCTCTTTGGTTTGCTTTCATTAGTACTCCTCATCTCAGAAACAGAGAGGTTAACCTGGCACTGCAATATGTCTTGTGCTCCGGGGCTGTGTTCCCTCTCGGGAGGCTAGATAACCCGTTACGGTTGCAGGAGGACTTGCTCTGAAGCTGCTGAACGTTTTCCTGCAGAAAAGAAGCTGGTGACCTTTTATGTGAGAAGTTCCTGTGCCTTTGGCTTAGCAGGAGAGTGCCCTTCTGTCATACGCCAGCGCCTCTCCGGTCCAAGGGGTTTTGGTCTGCTTTTGCTGAGATATATGTTGCTGAAATCACCTTTCTCTTCTGTTGATTATGTTCTTTAGCAAAACATTGGCAGCACACCAAGGTAACTACTGAATTTCCTATTCTACTTGTCAGCTGCTGTCACTGTGCTGTGAACACCTGCAAGCTGCCAAAACAACTGCTGTGAGTGGTAGAAGGGACTAGACTGGGAATCCTTTCATCTCCTGGCTCCCAGCACGTGGCTCTAGGGGCTCACACCTCCGTCAGGGCAGCCCGCAGGGTGGGGATCCTGCATCCCTCCTGGGCGGGAGGAAGCGGAAGCACAACCCACCTCCCTCCTGCTTTTCCTGTAGCTCCAGGGAACCATTCCAACACACCTTGTTATGACTTTAGCTCTTGAGGTCTTGGCAGTGATAGGGAGCCCAGCCCGAGCGCTTTCTGACTCTTCCCTGCACAAGATGACCTTCTCCCGCTGCTCCATTAGTCGTGTATCTTCAGTGGTTGTGTCTGCACCTTTCATCATACCTGCCTAGAGTCATGTGCCTCATTTTCTTTACAGGATAGGTACATTAGGAGGTTGGATTTTGCATGTGCAGCCAGAAACCAGATATTTCTTAACTTTAACTAAGTTGATTTTACAATCTAATCAACATTTCAGTGCCTGGTTGGGGTGGTGATGATATTTATGGTATTTATTTATGGTTGCTGTGGTGGGATCCAAGAATAGTCTTCTGGAGGAGCTTGTCACTGCTGTGCTGACTGCTGTACAGGCAGAAATGGAGAAACTTCTGTCATGAGTGGGTTTCAGGATGAGGATAAATGATACGTGATAAATGACAAGACATGGAGGGGGAGAGATGAACATTCAAATATGCTAAGTTTGATATATGTTTGCATTTTAAAATGATCCTGACTAACTGCAGTTCATTTTCATTCTAACCGTACTTAGTTGTCTAATTTTTCTTGGAATTGCTTCAGTACATATTGGTCTAGGTCAAACAAAATGCAGAAGAAGGAACTTCAGGTTCCATGAGAATAGAATAATTTTTGGTTAAAAGGAATTTGTGTTCTCAAATGAATGAAAGCAGAATTGATAATATTGTGTACCTAAGCTGTGTTGCAAGCTAGTGTCAAAACTTAAAAATGCAGTATTAATTAATACAAAGGCAAAAGAAAACCAGAAAGAATAATTATGACTTAGTCAGTGAAGAAAATGTAGTTTAATTTACAGGATAAATTTTTTGTAGGATGATAAGATGTACAAAAGGGCTGTTCCCACAGGGAGGAGACAGGAGGAAGCTCTGTCTGGGAAAGCAGCAGGGCTGTAGCGGTCAGTGGAAGGATCAGCAAGGACAGGCAGAGTAAGTTGTCTCCTTGACCTGTGGAAAGGCAGCACAGCTTAAGTAGGTATTTAAAAAGCTTTTTAGAAGTATCTTGACCTTAAGACGAGTGATTGAAGCTCGGGCTTGTGGTTGGTCTTCGTTGCATGTGTGAAAATGTACTTTTTTTCTGGTCCTTGGAAACTTGGTACATAAAAAGCAAAAAGATGACACCTACATAGGCGTGCATTTACAGAAGGTGTGAACGATTTCAAGGCAGGGGGAGTTAGGTCTTTGACATGATCAGGTAAAAGCTCAGTGTGTTGAGAGAAGAACTTCTTTCAACTTTTGTTGCATGAAATCTCTTCTGTCTGCTCTCTCAATCACTAATATTCCCCATGTATGTTTTGCTTTCTGTCATTCAGGCTCCAGGAGGACACAGTCCAAAGACTCAAAATGGACTTTTGAGTCCTCCACAGGAAGAAAAGCTCAGCAATAGTCAAACCTCGCTTTATGAAATGTTGCAAGAGAAAGGAAGATGGGGTGGAGTGAGTCTGGATCAATCGGCTCTCCTTCCTTTGAGGTTCAAAAACATCAGAGAGAAGACAGATGCTCACTTTGTGGATGTGATTAAAGAAGACAGGTAAGGAAAATTGAGCTGTGAAATTGTGTAAAGGTGGGAAAGCAGTAACAGGAGTCACATATCTTTAATCTTTATTTGTGTGCCTTTTGCCTAATGTCAATAATTATTGTTAACATATAACATGCCATATGTTTTCTGATTGTAGTCTATATCCAGCTTAAACTACAATAGGAACTTGGTGTCAGAAACATTCTGTTCAGGAATATGTAAAGCCAGGGTTTTCATTATTTCCGTGGTGAACAGTCATTCTTCAGTTGAGTCTTCAAAAAGGAAAAATACTCTTTAAGTGACTTGCCATGAAGTTGAACTCTTATTTTTACATTCAAAAGTCCTCTTAATGTATGTAATATGTACCTTCCTGTGCAATTAAAAGCGTAACATAAAATATGAACCATGAAACTTGTATTTTTGTGTAGCAAAAGAACAACCTCACATAACATCGTGTGACTATCTAATACCTAGAAATCATACTGGGCTTGGAAGCAGAATTAATAGGAGTGAATTGTCATGGATCTACTACCTACCTACAGCATTTTTTAGAGTTAGCTTCTCTCTCTGTTTCAGACGAAAAAACTTATTTTGGGTAAGGAAAGTATGTTCTCCAAAATTCAGTAGTGTGTGATTTTTGTAAACACACAACCATATCTCCCTTATTATGGCAGTGACTTGACTGGAGCAACTAAACAGATAACTTGAGTTTGTTATCATTTATAGCTATTCTTATTTTTGCTTCACTGCTTCCACTCAGATTAGGGATACTTTATCTAAATATCCTTGAAACTGTATGCTTGTACAGATTCCAGGCTGCTTGGAACAGGGACATTGTCATCTTAACTGAAAACATGACCAGAGCAGGGAGAAGTGAGAGGGAGGGACACCAGGCCCTCTCCAGTCTCTTTTCTAGATTTTTTCCAGATTACCTTTTTCCTGTGGCCAACTTCAATTAAAATTTAGGTTCCTCCCCCCACCCCATGTGTGGTCTGTCATCAGTGGCTGAGAATAGGTGATATTTTCAAATACTAGAAGACAGACGGATTGGGAAAGTCCAAATGTTGTCAGAAATCAGCAAGAACAAATTGGATTTTTGTTTAAAATGTAACTAGCATGCTGCAAATTTTAGGTTGTAGAAGTAGCTTAATTTATGCTGTTGGCCTGACTCAAGCACTTGTGTTCCTGGTGCATTCCTCCTCCATTTACAAAATGGATAATTCTTTCTGATTCGGAAAAAGGAAAAAGTAGGACTGTGACTTGACATCAGTCAAAGCCTAGCTTTTTTTTGGTCTCAATTAAATATCATCATTACCATATTAAGTGGGCCATTTCTTGTTGCCAGGGAAACTTCTCTGCTGAGTTCAGTTCATGTAAACATAACTTTCCAAAAATAATCTTCTGATTAATTAGGTCTATGCAAAATGGTTTAAGCCTACCGTTTTACATTAATCCTTTTTAACGTTTCTCAATGTGAAGTTATATGTAATAAGTAATTTAAAAAAACATTCTTGTTCCCCTCCTGTAAGACGTTAATATATTGTTGGTCTCGACAAATCCAGTATCTGTGAGGATGTTTGAATGGGAAATTTGAGTTTTCTCAGGGAGGGGGGGAGAAATACAAATTTCCCCTTGGTCATCTTACGTGAAACCCCATTCGCAGTAATAATACAGGAGCTTTGCTGCTCTGGTTTTATGTTATTGCAAACCCAGCAGCGGCAAAAGGTGAGCTTCCCCTAGCACTGGGCAGTGATTTCCACCATGGTGCACGTTGCTGGTGTTCTGATCTGTGATATAAATTCCTCTTAACAGAAGCTACATACCCCAGATACGGTGGTAACGTGTATGAATTAATCACGCAGGCTTCCTGTACGGCTGGGAGGAGTTAAGCATATCCTAGGGAGGAGTCGGGAGCCTGTACGCTGCACTAGGAAGCTGCCTAGGGCTAGCCTGGAGGAAATGCTGGACACTGGTGATATTTTTCATTTCCCAACCTCTTTCTAGAGTTTAGGTGTGTGGCTGAGAGTTTATGAGCGGCCATTGGTCTCTTTGCATGCCGAGATTTCAGCTTGGAGCTGATAGCTCAGCAGAGTTCCAGTTGTCTTTAAAAATAATAATAACGATGCCAGTGTTAGTGCAGCATGTTTGTATTACTGCATTATACAAGACTCCTTTTCATAGGAGTTATCAGTTTGCATCTTCTTACAACTGGATTATATGTGTTTTGCAAACAATGTATAGTTTGAGCTTTGAGCCTGGCTTTACTACAACCACTATAAAAATACCATGCTTTGGTCATTGTCATCTGCATGTTACAGTCTAGTTTAAAAGAAAACTATAGTGTAAGAGTACAAAATGTTCAAATGTAGTTTCATTGGGGATGTGCTCAAAGGATTCTCACTTCTTAGGTTTGTGTTCCCAAGAAAAATGACATATTCCTTAGCTTATACAATTTTTGAAGTACAAGAAACAAGTACTCAAGCGCTAATCAGGACATAGTTACAAATGATCTCTTTAGACTTGCAGAGCAGAGTCCCAGGGCAATACAAAGCTCCCCCCAGAAGCTAGGTTCAGCCTGTCACCCCCCCTCTTGGGCCAATTTCCTGTTTAAACACTTCTAAAATTTGTTTCTTTCTTTCTTTCGTCTCCCACTTCCCAGTCTGCTTAATTCAGGGAAAACAGAAATCACTTGTGCTGGGGAGGCACAGCGCCTCCTGGGAAGCAGATTATGTACTTGACTGTGTTTAATCAACTAAACTGGGATCTTCCTCTTTGAGACAGACAACTATTGATGTGGAGCTGGACTGGCAGACATCAGAAATGCTGCCTTCACCCTGGTTTCATAATGTTATACCTTCTGTTTCATGCTTCACTGGCAAATTGGATTGTTCTTCTTACATCCTTAGACCTTTGCAGCTCTAGCACCACACCACCATACTCTGTTGAGCTTCCCTGGAGGAAGAAAGTGAATTCAACAATATTTTAAAGGAAAGAAAAAGGGCGGCGGGGGGGGGAAGCTTGCAAAATTCATATTGTAAGATACTCTTAGAAACATCTAAGAGAGGTGAGGGGTGGAAGAATGAAGGAGAAGAGGCACTCAGGTGAATGCGTCCTGTCATTCCTGCAGATTATCCTGTTGTTTTTAATATATTGGCCAAGGCCAGAATGTTTAAAGGTTATAAAGTATCTGCCATATTCACAGCTGATGAATCCTTCAGTCTAGGAACGTATGTTTGGTTGGTTTTGCATCTCAAGGAAAAAATGCTTCCCACATTCCCACATGCCATCTTGTGCTGGGGAGCTTGTACTTCCAACAAACCTCTTTGCTAAGTGTTCACAAAAAATAGCAAAAAAACCAAAAACAAACCCCCTGAAAAAAAAAGGATTCAGGCGCAGACTAGCTCTGTAGGATCTTTCCACTTTGTCATCTGCTTAGAATTTGATCTCATGTGCATCTCTGTGGTTTTTGCTTAGTTACCACTTGAAAACAGGCCACTCTAATTGTTGCTCCGGTGCTATGATTTTCAAGGCAGGAATAGCACGTGGAAAGAAGCTGCCTCGTTTCAGATTCTACAGCAGTTTTAAAAACAGCTAGTTCACTATAAATAACAAGTGGAATCGGTTACTTGAAAATGAAAGGAGGTTCATACCAAGAGAGTGTGCTCTGAAGCCTCAGATGAGGACAGCACAGAAGAGAGGGTGGCAGGCTGTCCCAGCAATAAATGGCATAAACAGGCATGACCTTACTCTGTGAGCATCGGGCACAGAGCACTTGGTGCTCTGTAAGTCGAGTCCTTTCAGCTCTTTGACACCTACTCAGGAACGAAATGATTTGCAGATCAAGTGCCGTAGATGTCGTCAGAAAACTTCTTTCATAAACCTCTTACAACTAATGTAAAACTCAAAAAATGTTCTATTTTTGCTCTAGAGGGTGAGGAACAGAAACAACTTTTTAATGATTGAGACCTCTTTTATGGGTTGGTTGGGGTTTTTTTCTGCACCAGACACTGGAAGAGAAGGTGGAGAGGTGCATAAACACCCTCTGGTAGATGCTGCCTCCTGGTTCGTTAGTCCTAGTGAGCTAGTTTCATTATCTGTCAGTGCCTTTGTGGATGATTCTGATGATTTCAAATCTTCTGTTTCAGAAGTATGTGTAAGCTATCAATCTCCTCAGGTTCTGTTTTTCTGCAGCCCAGATCATTAAGAAAATGTTCCTAGCTGAGTTACTGAGTTATTTGGAGTAATAAGAAAGTGCTCTTTTCTAAAACTGACAAATGGAGGGTTTTTTTCTGACAAATTGTCACGTTTATCTTCCTTGTCTTGCGTTGAACGATGGAATTCCACCTGACACCAGTATCCTGCAGCCATGCATCACCTAAGGTTGTGCCTCTGTAGCAGCAATTAACCTTTACTATTTTCTGGCTTATATTACAAGTATCTGCAGACATCTGCAGTTATAGCTGTTAAGTTTCTGGAAGGACTTGTTGGTCTCTTCCTGAACGTATAAAAGTTTATTCTGCCATTTTTTGGTGAAGTATTTCCTCTGAGTGAGTGAGTGATGTGGGTAAGGGGGTACCTCGGTGACTGAGAGCGAAGATAAGCTACAGGAACTTCAAAGCCAAGTGCCAGCATCCCTGGAAACAGAACCCATGGAACAGGGGGCTCTGAAAGAGTTACAGCTGAATAAACTGATGTTGTCTTTTCTCTTTAGCCTCATGAAAGACTACTTCTTTAAACCGCCTATTAACAAGCTGAGCCTGAACTTCTTGGATCAGGATTTGGAGATGGCCTACAGGACAAGCTATCAGGAAGAGGTGTGTTTCTCCTGGTGCTGATTTCCTTCTGTAATCTGTCTAAGCAACTGTCTGTCACTTGTTTTTAACACGCTTCATTGCAGTTAATGACAAGGGTCGTGAAATGTCAAATGTGATTTACTACTTGGTATTGCTGCCTCTGAAAAGTCTGCTTTCAGTTTACCTGCCGTGTGCCATACCTTGAGTCTAGTCTACTCCAACATTTAGGCTGGAAATACATATTCACACTCCACCAAGATACACTAATTACTGCTCACTTGCCTTTTCTCCATTTTCAGGTTAATGTTTTAAGGCATTAGGCAGACCAGAGAACCATGCTAAGATGAAAGTAAAGGACAAAACGCTACTTGCCTTCTCATCAAATATCCTAACTTTGAGAATGGTGACTTTGAATTTGATTCTTGTTCATGTCACAGGCTCATGATTATCCTTGTGGAACCCAAACCTGCTCTGAACTCAAATGTCCTAAGTTCTGTCCATGTGCTGCGTTCAGAAACAGGCAGTTCAAACCACTGTGTAATGGTAAGGAATAGTGAGTAAATTGGAAGGAACTTGGTGCCTTCTTCAGGACTCTGCACCGAGTGTAAAAAGTCCTTAATCCCCTTGGGGGCTAATAGTATCGCAGGCTTTCCATGTCAGTAGATATTCCTGCCCGGTTGATGTGAACTAGCAAGATGCTTTGGGTTTACATACAGTGACATTAGGTGTCAGTACTAACTGAGGCTGCATTTCCACAAGCAGCTGAAAAGTCGCTGCCAAAAGCGGGCAATTGCTCTCCTCTCCTTGTTCCTGCTCCTCCCTGGCCCTTCTAATGGCTCTGGTGCTTATCAGGCTTCCCTGCTGTGAGCCACTTCATTTTACTAGCCTAGCATAAAATATTCATGTTTTGTTTTTCTGTTTGGGGCTTTTTCTTTTTCCGTCTGGGTCTGTTTTCTGCTGTATTGAACCAGCAGCTCACAGAGAGGTTGGCAAGTGCCAGAGCCAGTGCAAGATAAGTGTCCGGCAGCAGGAAGGGGAATGGGCCCTTCCCTTCCAGTAGCACCGAGCTATTAGTTTGGGCCATCCATCTGGCAGAATTGCATTGTGCTAAATGTGGGTGTTGATTTCTTTTCTTCCCAGTATGTCCTACATCCGAGGGCAGGTAGGATTTCTGCTTCTGCTGCTTGTTTATGGGCTGCTTTCTGTTCTGGGCAGCGTTGTCACATTGTCCTTAGTAATAACTCCCTGTTTGCTTGTTTTCCAGTGTTTACAAACGAGACCTAACTTTTTTAACAAAGGGAAGCATAGTTGTGTTGCAGGTCAGTTTGTTCACTTTGTTCAGGAGCTTCGTCCTCGTCCTGCAGCGCTGTATTCCAGTGGTTATCTCTCTGAATAAAGCTCATGTAGCAACAACAGGGAGATGGTTCTCGTGGGATACAGCCTGAAAAATTTGTACAAACTATACAAAAAATTGTAAATCAAATTCTTTCCAATGGAAAGGTTGGAAAGAGAAGCAAAGCGGTGATAGTCAAACATCTACAGATTGACCTGTTAACGTGGGTATGTAGTAAATTCATAGAAGGAGCAGGAACTTGGCCTGTGCATTTTGTTAGTGGCAAGCTATTAATTTGAAAATTAAGTAAAGCTCCCTGGAAATGGAAATCTTCACTCTAATAGTAACTTTGAGCACTGGGGCAAAACCTGTTAAAGCCTTAATGTTAGCATAGTACTGGTCCAAACCAACAACAATCTTCTCTTGGGAGAATGAAATGATTTGTCAGCACTGCTGGTTATTTAATTGCCTGGCAGGAAACTGTTGCTGAAAGTAACTTCCAACACACTGAATTCACCTCTAATTACACAGTGCCAGCTGCATGCTCGGTTTGTGATCATTCTCTGTAAGCGCCTGCACTTCCCAAGAGCTTGCTTAGCCTGTTCTTGTTTGGAAATTAAGGCACTACTTAACACTGTCAGGGCATCCTTAATGCTGTCACTTTAGGGTACAGTGTTGCTTTCCTTGATTCAACTTACGTGACTTTCTGGGTGGACTAGCAGGATTCTGCTGGAGTTCAGATTAATTTTGGCACTGAATGATGCTGAGTGAATATATTATTTTGCAGGGAGGTACAAATGAGGAACAAGTTCATTTCCCAGTATTGCTGAGTGCAGATAGCGTTCTAAGGAGTAGAAGAAATTTCCAACTTAAACCAGAGTACAGCCCTGTAGTATTCAAACTGGACTACTTCATGGCGATATGGATAACATACTTTTGCTTTCCTTTGGAACTTGCTTTCTGTGGTCCCTTGAGCAGATAGAAACGCTCATAAGACTGGGCTCATCTGAGTAAGCCAGGATGTGGAGCTCATGATCTAGTTTTTCAGCTGGACTGGCCAAAGTAGCACACAGCACAGCTGCACAAGCACCGGGGCCAGGACAAGAAGGGATGGGAATGTGTGGTAAGGGGTTACGGGAGAACAGAACTTGGTGTCCTGGGCTCTCATCAATTCAGATTACATAGCGTCCCGACTGCTGCTTCTAATCTGGCCCGAAAGGGAGATGTGAACTCTGCCACAGGCAAGTAGCTGTTTCTGTAGAGTGGGGTTTGGAGGGTTTTCTTAAAGAACCATTGGAGCTGAAAGGTTTATTGTAAAATCTATTATTATTTTAAATTAAAATCATTCAAGGAAACTTCTTATAGCTTTATCTGCTAGTAATTGTGGGTTTTATGTTTCTTTGCATAGAATAGTAATTCTCATATGGTTTATTTCTGTATCATAATATTCTACAAAAATCACCTCAGACCAGGGGCTGCACTGCCAGTGCCTTTTTTCAACACAGGCTTATTGTCAGGGTACTGTGATAGCCGTTAAACTACCTCTTCTGTTTCTTGTTTCAAAACAGTACTTGCATTGGATTAATGAAGTAGCAAAAAGTTCTATATTCCTTTATTTGCTTTTGTGAGCTGCTGTTTATGGCACAGTTGAACTCAGCATAGTAGAAGTTATTCATTTTCATTCCTTCCCTTGATCCCTGTATCCCACACAGGTTATAAGGAATGCTCCAGTGAAGACGTTTGCCAGCGCTACCTTCAGCTCGCTCCTGGACGTGTTCCTCTCCACCACAGTCTTCCTCATACTTTCTATCACGTGTTTCCTGAAACACGGGATGGTCGCGTCCCCTCCACCACCCGCAGCAGTCGTGGTGTTCGTCATCGCCATCCTGCTAGAGGTGCTGTCCCTTGTCATCTCAATTAGGTAAATAAAGCTTAAGAAAGTCTTGAAATAGCAGTGGGAACTGAAACGGTGGCTGGCTCAGGAACATTTTGTTTGACAGCATCCCAGGAACTCACTTGGACGGTCTGTAATATTTGGAGAACAGTGAAGCCAAGAGGGCTTGCAGCAGTGCTTGTGCAAAGAGAGGTCTAGCTGCAGAAATTGGAGGAGAGAAAGGTGACTCTGGTAGAGGCCACTTAAGGAAACAGAATCTGCATGCCATGCTTGCCCCTGCTTATTGTTCCTTGGGATGCCACACGCAACTGGATATCTCCTCTCCTCACAGGGCCATCAGTGTGACGGAATTCAAACAGAAAACTTTTATCTGTCCTTCAAAAAAAACACAAACCCATCTTTAAATTCCTAGATAAAAGTGCACCATTGTGGTGTTAAAACTGAAATAACTTATCAGAAATGCTAAGAGCAGCTCTTGTCTCAAAAGAAAAAATAAAATTAAAAGAAATTTCAAAATCACATTGCATCTCTCCAGAATTAGGTTTTTTAATGATCTCTGTTTCAGGTCTCATGGGTTTAATATTCAAATAGTTTGTGTGTTCTCCGTTTGACACGTAATTGGAGTTCAGCATTTCCCCCAAGCCCTGGGCTGTGTGACAGTCAGCTGCTGCTGGCAGAAAGGGTGGCTTCGCAGGACTGTGCTCAGCAGTGCCAGCCCCCATGCTGCCTCTTCGCAGCCGGCAGCAAAGAATCCCCAGTACCTGAATTCTTACACATCCCTGCAACCCCTGCGCCTCTGCCTCTCCTGTGCCCTTGGCAGTGAGGCTTGGCTGCGGAGGAAGACACCTGATATTTAGCAGCAGCTCCTCATTCCTGACTTGTACCCGGTCACCCAGAGGACGTGTGCTCTGGACGTCTGGGGCACTTGCGGGCCTTACCCTGGTGTTTGTAACTAGTCGGCGAGCGGTTCCTGTGCGGTTCCTGCGTAACGTGGGGTTTCCCCCAGGCACGCTGGAGTTACTGACACGTTCAAGTGTAGCAGAAGCCTGCAGTTGTACGTGCATTCAGTAAAGCTCGTGCTCTCCTGGGTGTGTTGTCCGATTTGTACAGATACTGCGTGTAACCTGTCATTATTAACCCAGGTGATGGACCTAATAATAATTTATTCTGCCCTCCACATCCCCCCTTTTCACGGCACTTCCTTGTGACACAAGAGCGTGTTATAAGGGTGGTGTGTGGAGATGCAGTTCTGTAGTTCACTTGTAGTTTTGGAAATCCATCAGGTATGTGTAAGTTCAAATGCTTTTGTAATTACAAATTAGAAGCAATTCTGCTCTTGTTTCAAAAGAAACAAATTGCAGTTTGCAGGCTGCTTTTGACTTTTCAGGATCAAGGTAAAAAATACTAAACTTGTACTTTAGTCACTGCAGCTTGTAACTCTGCATGTGAATGTATGCAGGCGTGTTTACTTGGAAGCTGGCATTTAGGAGTGGAGAGAGGTTGTTTGTGAACAGTGGAAATGCTTTTAAGGATAGCGTTTCTGAGCAGGTATATTTGATTGCTGCAATTTGAACAGTATTGTAGTTCTGGAGTTTTTAGAAAATCTAGACATTCAGAAAGCATTAAGACCTGCACTGGGAGATGGTTGAACTGGTAGGACTGTCATTCTAGTGCATCTTAAACTGGATTAACTGTTGCTCTGTCCTCTCTCCTGCACCAGAAATGCGTTTTCCCCTTTGCAGAACAGTTTCTGTACCCTGTCTTGGGGGAACAGGTAAGTTGTTTTTTGCCAGTTTAATGTGCCCAGGCAGTTCCTTCACTGCACCAGGTAGGAGAGTAGGAAGGCAGCAGCGAGCAGGTAGTCTGGGTTTGGTGGCCATGGCATTGTATCCCTGAATTTGTTCAGCTCTGAACAACTCAACAACCACTTTGCAGAAGAGCTGGTTTCTGCTAGCTTAGATATGTTTGGAGAAAATTTGTGTTTGTTCACCTTGCAGGTGAATTTTTACTCCACTGTAGTACTTTTCAATTCATTATTATCCCCACTTGTTTTCCAATGCTGCGTTACATTTGCCTTTTCTTACTTTGTACATTTATAAAAATTATTGCTGTAATCTTAGCATTGTTTGTAGGTAGGTACGTAAGGTTTTATTTCAGTCCTGTTCTATAATTGGTGGTTTAGGGGGTTCTTAAGGAGAAGGAAAATTGTTGTTTTCAGCATGCTATCTATATAGTCAAGAATTTGCAAAGTGGTTTTGTCTTTCCGAGCTGCGTACAGCTGTACAGAGGTTTAGCTTCATTGCAGCACCATGTTGTTGAGAGCCGTGCTCTTTGGTAGTGAGTCTGGGCCATTACTGAAGTGAGTTTATGTGGCTTTGTAATGTTTTCTTAACATTTGGTTTTGCCACTGACATTTCTAATATTTTCGTGAGACTACGTTGGCTTAAAGCCCGAATTTTACTTTCTAAGCTGGCTTGGATGCCTCATGTAGTCAGTGAGATTTAAAAAGCAAGTGTTTCAGGGTGACTCTAGGTCTAAGAAGCATATATTTTTTAATATTAATCATTCTTCTGTGCTTAATTCTGACTTGAAAAACAGATTGAGAAACATCTCGCACTGTGGAGAGCACCTGTAGCCAGCCATCAAAACTCAGGTAGTCCTGCTTGGTGTAGTAACAACAGATTTTCAATAAACACCATGTTGACAGCATGCAGGGCTGCATTTATCCTAACAGGCACCTGCAGGAGGGTTGGGCGTGCAGGGGGTGCTGCAGTTCCTGCACAGCTGCTGCGGGTGCAGATGATCGGTGGTCGCTTGCTGCACTCGTTGGAGTCAAGCTGACCGTTAATCTCAAGACCCCACAAATTCTCCTTGTTAGTTTGGGAAACAGGAATCGCTGGGTGGAGTAAGTCATTGCTGCCCTTCCCTGCCCTCTCTGGCAGTTGAGGAGTAGGGACGTAGGAATCGAGTCGCAAGGTATCCCTTGCTGCTGGAGCCCTTCTTGTGCAAGTGAGGGATGTGTTGCTCCTTTCTTTTGGTGGGAGGGAAGTATCTGCAAATCACTCTGTTTACTCCACAGTTACAAGCAATTGGTTCTCAGGAGTTTGCTACCGTGGGCTCACGTTTGTGATCTTTCCTCTGCTAATGAGATATAATTTGTGTTTGGCTTAACTCTGATCGTCACATCTGAGGTAACGCTGTAGTAAATCTCTTAAAGTACAAAACAGGGTCATCTCAGATCTGAGTAGAACTTACCCAGCGTGCCTTCTTGAAAATAGCCTCATACACCCAAAAAGAGCAGTCTTTGTAGGTGAAAAACCTCTGAAGCTTTCTGGTAAGTTTTCAGTTTTAAATGTAATGGCAATGGTGTCTGGGGAGGTGGGGGACTTTTGAGGAAAAGATACTTGGTTTGGCTCGGAGTGGGTTTTTGCTTTGAATTTATAATATGTATTTACTTTATGATAGATACATAAAATACAGTTTTGGGCCACTCTGGTCTCCATAACCTGAGGCACACACTTCTGTTCAGTTCCCTTGAGCAGAAAGAAGAAAATTGTCTTTTTCCTCCTGAAATCCTCTTCAAATTGAGGACTCATTATGTACAGAAACGGTGCAGAGCTTCCTGTGCAGAAATGTCATCCCAAATGACAATCACAGAATACTACCGAGATATCTTTAGGGAGGAGATTGGACTACAATGCTGGGCACAATCCCAGAATTTCAGGAAAAGGGATTATTTTAGGACCAGAAAATTCTTGCCTAAGTTTCTCATTGTATTTTCATTATCGTGATGCGAAACACCCTGCCTTTAAATCAGTCTGACTTTTAATTGGATCCAGGACTCAGCCTAGGAAGTACTCACTACAGCTCTCGTGGCTAAAACCTTTAGTCCAGCTGCAGGAGTGGGAGAGGAGAGCACTATTGCTGCCTGTGCTAAAACTTGAGTTCTCGAAGAGCAGAAGTCCTCATGGAGCAAAGCTTACAAGGGAGAAGGATGTTTTGATTCCTCTGAAGTGTCTGATAATAAATTATTGGAGTATCTATAGATGAGGATCCCGCTGTTATCACAAGTGCCACTCTAAAATTAATTGTATAAAGCTGCATGCAAAAAAATGGTGCTTCATTTGTAAGCATGTGGAAGATGTCATCTCCTGTTCTGTAAGTGTAGTGCAAAGAACGTCCTTCTGCCCACTTGAAATGTGACTACTTTGACTTTCAAGAGTTCAGCTGAAGTGTAAGAGGTCCTAAAGTTCTGCTATTTTATAAAAATACCTTGGGAAATGTAATTGAACGTACCATAGTCTGTGAGATTTCACTTGGATTTCTTAGGAATACTTCTGCAGGAATACAGGTAAAAGACATCTGCCCACTATTTTAGCTGTAAATACAGGATTTTTGTTAACTAGATACTTTTGACATCTAGTTCTTGTTCTCGAGTAAAACTTGCTATAAGTAAGTTTGTTTAAAAAAAAAAAAAAGTGTAGGTTTTGATAGCATCCTTCAGCAAAGACTTCTGGGTGAAGAGGTGAGGTCAGAATAGTGGATATTTCAACCCTGTTCAAAAGAGTGAGAGATGGGAGCACTTGATGAGTTGCTTCATGAATTAAGAAGGACCTTTCTAGAGAGCAAGAAAATGTCTTCCAGATGAAGAAAGCAGGTGCAATCAAGACAGTAGGATGGAGACTAAGCAAAACTGCCCTTTGCCTGGTGCTTCACCTTCCCAGGCTTGCTGAAGTAGCACCCACAGCTGAGACCCTGGGACCAACCAGTTGGATCTTCTTAAGTTCCAAATGACCAGAAGCAGAAATTATTTTCTGCAACTAGAGCTTAACGAACCGGTTCTGTTAACAACAGGGCTGATGCAGAGTATTGATGTGAGGGAGAACAATGTATTCCTTTTGCCTTTATTTATTTCTAACATCTGTGACTTTGGTATTTAATATCCCACCAAATTGCTGCTACGCCAAAAGCTTTTGATTTGAACTATGGGAATTGATTTTAAACTGCCAGTAAATACAGAAATGATG